TTTTAAATTTTACGGTTATTGGCTTCTCGGTAATTCTTTTCTTGATCTGTTCTATTGATGCAAAAGTAGCCAATTAATTGCGTTTTCGTCGTGGTCGTCTCATATTTAAGATTTCTCTCATTTCTAGTAAATGGTTTTGTTTGTTTGGAAATTCTCCACACACATAAGATTCTTTCATTCACAAGTTTGTTTGGAGTTGAGGAGGATAGTGTTTGAAGATGGTGACCTTGAAATTGATTAGAAAGGGGAAATTGAACACGATGATGGAAAACATCAAACTTTATGTGCGCAATTACATACGTATGATAACGTTAGTTACACGTTAAAGTAAACTTAAGCAGTAACCTTACACAGCATAAATCATATTAGTACATAAATAATATCAAAATACGACAAATAAACGACGAGGTCATAATATTTGGATGAGGAGAGTGGAAAACACTAGGAAATTGAAATAATCTTTGGATGCGGGTGTTCGGAGATGTAACGTGGTATTGTAATATTCCGAACAAAGAGCATAGTACACCGGGAGAGTACTATGTTTTTCGATCGGAACATTGCAGGTGAAATATATGAGAGAGTGATTATTTGAAAACCTTTTTGAACAAGAAAACGTTTCCGTTCTTGTGGACTCGCAAAATTTTGTGAAATTTTCAAAACATTCCAGAATTTTTTAAAGGCATTTCATGGAATATCGCACAGAGTTAGCTATCGATATTGGTTGTTGAATCTGACAGAAGAAACGTCAGATGTGTTTAAGTGTACATTATCTGTGAAATGTATAAATTCAAGAAATTATAAACCGTAGAATTTAAGTTGAAGTGTTACTCTGATTAGGTTGCATAAGCATATCAGTAAGAACCCTTGACTTGTTCATCAGGAATTAGATAAGTGGTTGTTTATAGAGCAGCATTGGAAGAGTCTTCGACGAAATTGGCTGTTGGTGAAAGATACTGAAAATTTAAAATTGTGTTCATTCATCACACATTCGTCTTGACTCCAAAGGTCAATCAATCAAATGAGTCATAGAAGACAAAAAATGAACAAGTGGAAACAAACAAGAAATATATTAAATGGTGAATGACTTACTGCACTGTCATGCATCGATGAATCATGAGCTACATTCTCCCTAACTGGACTATGATCGTNTCGTTTGCGGTTTGATTGGGCAACGTTTTGTTCCTGCTTGAACGTCCATTCATAATGCTCAAAACATGCGTTGGTGTGTTGAGAAAATGAGCCTGAAAATGGATGCTATCTCAAGAGGAGTGTACAAGCAATATTACTGACCGGATGCGTTTACGATAAAATTTACATTTTGATCTATACATCACACTTAATACAGATAATTCCAAAGATTTCATTTGTATCATTCCAGCTGAATAAAATATTCTTGTGAATGATTTCACTTTCTCAAAAGCAACCGTAACCATTCGGCACTACTTTCCATATACAATCTACTCTAACTATACGATCACCGCAAGACATGCGTACTGTAGCAAACCGAAGTTCTATCATAGACTACAGTANCAGTAACAACGAGTGTACAATGCGATTACCGGAATAACTGCTAATGAAGAGGAAGCCAATGGCGTCTTCTGATTGGCTAAGCCGAAATTACTGTGTTGATTTGTCTCGTCGTCTGCCATCAACTCCGTCTCCCGCTCAGCGAACGAAGTCTGTAGAATGGTTACTGTAGCCAACAATTTTCAGAAGCATTCTATAAGATTACTGTAACAAGTTGTCGTCGCATTATTACTGCAGTGCAGTTGTGTGGTTTGCATGAATTGTTCGATATTCGGTTCAGATCTCTTGCAAGAGATCAAAATAAGATAATAATCAAAAATAATTGCAGTGTGGGGGTTAATAATGAAAAAATGATGGTATAAAAAAACAACAGTAAATGACTGATAACAGCAAAAGTAATCAAAGTTCACCGAGAATAACGAAAAGAAACAATAGTAAACGATATCGATAACAATAAGAACTGTTATAATAACGCTACCTTCTCCCATGGTGCTCTTGAAGTTGGTGTTGAGTTTGTTGTTTCATCGTTTTTCATTGAAACATTTTGTTGGGTTTGATTATGATTTTGGGACATATTGGGACCACACGACATATTCGCATTACGTCTCGGTGTTTTCAGTCGTGCAGTTGATGCTGATATGTTTGGTTGTGGCGATTGCATGTGCTCATCTTGCTCATTTTCCTCGTCAACTTCTTCCAAAGGCTGAATTTGGATTGATAAAATTTTCGAACTCTCCACTGGATTTTCATTTCTTCTTTACAGATGATGACATGGAAACAAATTCAGTGAATCGGTCATCAAATCTATAGGAGTTTTGGAAAATACAAATTTTTTGAAGAAAACATGTGATGATGGAAAGTTTTTCAGTTTCTAATTGTAAGTGAGCAATCGATTCATTTGGGAGAAATTCGCTAGAAAATCTTTCGAGTGGAAATTTTGGAAGAGGTAATCTTTAGGAAACAAACAGAATCATAGCGGAACACTTCATCGTCTTCGGACGTATCACCACCAATGCCAAGTGCTGAAAGGTGTGTTTGCTGCAGAAGATCGTCACAAATGGATGGTCCCATTTCGTCACGAACTGAAAATCATCCGGAATTATTTCCGTGATCAGACTGGATTGGATTGGAAAATAGATATCGCTAAAAGTTTTAAACTAGGACGAAAAAGAGAAATTCAATGGGAAAAATCGGAAAATGCGATTGAGTTACCATGAATAAGAAATTTTACGTTTTAAAGAAATTCGAAGGAAATAGAGCAAATTTTAGAAATTTAGATCAAAATGAACAGGAAATCATATCGAAATTCACCAAAATCAACGAGGTGACGTTCTGGTCTTGACGAACGCTCCTGCTCGTGAGTTTGCCTTAAAGAAAAAAGCATTTTCAAAATCGGTTTCATTGATTCTTAATGATACAAAATCGCTTCCTTACAGCTTTTATGACCACATTTGTTGAGACTTCAAGCAGCGTTTCAATTTGATTGAAACTGTATCGAGTAATTTCTATATGATTTCGTTATGAAATGAAAAATTTCACGTTTTCGTACAAAAACTTCAATCTTCTCCATATTTTTCATAATTGTTTCCGGATAAATGATTTTTCTGCGCTTTTCTATCAACCCATCGGATTTCATGACAAATATAACGTTTTCTATTAACATATAGGCAAATATTTGCTAGCTGCGGTTAATTTCCATTCAAAAATTGCTAATTTACAAGCGATTCAATGATGAGAGGAAACCAAAAGCGTAAGGAACACATGTACGGAGTTTGACTTTTGTTATTTGATAATGGAGGAGCACTTTTTCTTTTAACTAAATGATCATGCAAATGAGTTTGGACTAAATGTATCTGATTTAGCATATTTAAGGAGAATATGGCATACAACTGAACAGTATGAAGAACACTGCTTGAAAGTTTGAAAGGAGTTTCAAGCTTGATAAAATTTGATCTGTGCTTACATATCAAGGAATTCCTTCTGCCGATCCAATGGCAAACGGGCGAAAAGTTTCAAAGCAACACGTTCTTTGTCTTTTCTCTTGCGTTCGTAAATCATTTTCATCTTATCAATTACTTCCGATGAGCAATCTCGAAGTATGTTTTGAAGTTGTTGTTCAGATCGACCGCATGTGGTGTTCAGAGTTGTGGAATGCAGTGATGGTCTTGTCATAAAATTGTTAACTGTGTTTCGTCGAGAACCCCTAGTTGGTGCCAGACCTCGAACACTGTTATTATCTGACGATTGTGATGTGGCTAGAGCTCTTGGCTGATACGATGAACTCGCGGTACTGATATTATTTCTGTTGCTTGTGGTACTCGAATTGAAATTGCTTTGGCTAATAGACGAGTTGGCATTGATATGGCGAGGTCTGAAACCAGGAATGTTGTTGACATCAGAAAGTTTGTTATCAGAAACTGGGAAGTGAATATCCGAGTGTTTAAAGGGATCATAAAGCGTGATCAAAAGTGATCGTT